AATACTTATTTTTCGGTTTTTGGCAGACACAACATCTTTGTTGGTATGGGGTGCTGAGGATCGAACCCGGGCCGAACGCATGCCAGGCGAGCGCGCTACCACTTGAGCCACATCCCCAGCCCCAACTTTTTTATTTTTTTAAACTTTCTACTCCTTTGTGGAAAAAAATAAATTCTCTTAGAAAAGCCTCCAACAGGGCTGGGGTTGTAGTTCAGTAGTAGAGCCCCTGTCTAGCATGTTGAGGCATTGGGTTTGATTCTTAGAACTGCACAATAAATAAATAAAGAAAGAAAGAAAGAAAGAAAGGTCCACTGACAACTAAAAAAAAATTTTTTTTAAATATAGAAAACCTCAAACACATAACCTCTGCTGATCTAGTATAAAGGATCTGGGTAATTTCTCCTTCAAAGTATTTTCCTGTTCCACTTCTCTTAAAAGTTTAATTTCTCAGGCTGGGGTTGTAACTCAGTGGTAAAGCACTTGCCTAGCACAGGTGAGGCACTGGGTTCAACTTTCAACCCCACATAAAAATAAATCAATAAAGGTACTGTGTCCATCTATAACTAAAAATATTTTTAAAATGTAACTTATCTAACCTTCTTCTCCCTCAAACACACTCCCTATCCTCCAATGAGATTATTCAAGCACATAAACTTTTGATTCATGTAAGAGATGCTAGGAATACATATTAAAGAACAATTAGGCAAGGAACAGCATTATATAAATGTATACTTCTCAACTAGTTCAGCATTTACTCAGCGCATTTGTCAATCTCTCAAGTACAACTATCTTTCATATTTTTCCAATAAATCAGCTTCTCAAATCCCTACATCTGATCAACAATGTTAGTTTTAATCTCATAATTTTACTATACCTCAATATCAAGGCTCAGAGTGAGCATTATCTTCTCTCCTGTTGTTTTCTAAATAATGTTCTTCCTTACTGGATGAATAATCCCTACATAAGATCCTACAGGAACCAGGTCATTTTTTAATTTCTTTTCCAGGACTCAAAACTCATTAATGATTTAATTGCCCATTCCTTCTTAAAAAAAAAAAACAAGAAAACTGGTCATCTTCAAATCTGTGATAATATGGGTAGCATATAGTCTTGCCTCAATGTGAGGGAAAGTCAGCTCAACCACACTATTCATTCAACATAAATGGTTACTGAGTGTCTAGTTTATGCTAACCTCAAGAGAAAAATCTCTTCCTTCATGCAGTTTACATTCATTTAAGTGGTGCCAAATAGCAAATAAATATGTATTAGGATGGATAAGGATGAGTGCTACAGGAAAAAATAAAAGTAAGCAAAACAGATGAAGCATGGGGCCCACAATTTTCAACTGTGTGGTCAATTTTCAACTTTGACAGAGTGCCATGGGTTGTGCCCACAGGCCACACTAAATGTCTATTATTAGAAAGTTATTTTGTTTTGAGTATTTCCTGTTAAACTGTATTCCAGATCACGGATCAATATAGTGCCATCTTCATGACAATGGATAATCTATACAATTAAACTTGATGCAGACAATTTCAAAAGTTCATTCCTATTAGAATAAATATAATTTATCACAACACTTGCCTTTTTTGTCTATTATAAATAGCCTTTAGATTAATCAATAACTATTTTTTTCTTAGAAAGTTTACAACAATACCACTAAATACAATGTTAACCAAAAGTATGAATGCAACATTCTTCAGTCATCTAAGGCTGTTCTGAAGTATAAAATAAAATAACTGAAAATACAAGTATTCAAAAAACTCATTTCTGGAAAAAAAATCATCTTTACTATCTACCACAAAGCTATACAAGTTATAAAGCAAGGACTTTCATGTGTAACTAATTAAAACAAATTAAATAATAATAATAGTAAAGTAAGGACTTAATTCTAAATACATAGGTATTTTATGAAGTAAGCCATTACTCTTCGGTTCAAGAGTCCTTCTCAAATGGACTACAGGAGAATTAAACGCTAATGCTCTAAGACACTTATTGATTGTTATAAATTTTTGTCTAGGCATCTAGAGTGGTACTAGCTATATACCATCACCCGTGGAAAAACGAGACGGCATTCAAATCATTTTCTCAGGTCTGAATTTTCTTATGGAACTAGGTAGGAGAAGCGGGGTGGGGCATCTGATAAAAGTATCTAAATACTGAAAGAAAAGAAAACCTTCCAAAATAAGAGAGATCAACACTTTACTATATATGTGCAATTTTAAAAGAAACTTTCCAGTTAGTGAAAATATTAAGAAATACATATTCAAAAACGTTGTTAATTTGCTACATTAAAACAACTATATCATATTTAATGTTACAAGACAGGAAAATACTTGCTGAATCACACAAGTACTGTTTTTGTTTCCCAACATATCACCTGTGGTATAAAATAATCTGGAAAATCAAGAATTATGTTTACTGTAAAAAGCTATGAATACACCGGAGTCTCTTCCTAAAATCAGTTTCAAGTAATCATTAGCTAACAAATTACAGAGGGATCCTAACCAAGTGCTGTGACTTCCTTGTTACCAACTTGGAACAAGATCCTACATTTAGCTTGTCTTGAGACAAATATGGAGAAGCCCAGAGCAGTAACAAACTGCCAGTTTACTGAGTCATGTTTCTGACTAAAACTGTGTTATGAAATGGAAAGAATGACATGTCTAGGGTTTAATCACAGTTGTTAACGCCCTAAATTTAAGGGTCTCAAATGCAAAAGAAAGCAAAAACGCTCTTTAGGTAAGAATGAAGTGGGACTAAAATGACTTTGGAAAGAACTTGCCAAATCTGGGAACTCTGCGTTTAGACCTAACACAAATCCTAACTGTGCAAACAGGCACACCCTGTAATGCACCAGAACGGGTCCGCCAGGTAAAGGGAATGGAGAACAATCAATCACAAGGTTAACGTTTCACTGGGAAGACAGCCTCAGCCCCAAGAGTCCACACAGCACCAGACGCCCTCGGTTAACGGAACCGCTCTGCTCAAGACAGGCAAGCACCGAACCCTAGTTGGAACCTACCACATCAACTCGGTACCTGGCGACGCTCAGGTCAAATCCACCCAGGGCGCAGGCGTCCCCCAACCCCCGCAGCATGCCGCTCCCCGCCGCCCTCGGCGCTTCTCTACGAGCTCGCCGGGGACAGAACCCACCCATGGTGGACTCCGAAGCCAGTCCCGGACTCCGCAGGCGACTGGAGATCCGGCGCGGCGACCTCTGCCCGGACTGGAGCGGGACAGCCCCAGGGTCGCCTCCCGCAAGCTGCGAGCCCTCACGGCCCCCAAAGCCGCAGGTTGCCTCGTGTGCAGGATGGGGCGCAGGCAGACTGGCCCACGCCCGCGGCGCTCACTGACCTGGAGAGGTGCTTCAAGATCTGTTTCTTGATGATCCCAGCCATGGTGCCCAGGCAGGAGGCGCCGCGCTCTTGCTGGTCCTCACAGCCCCCTCACGCCGTGGCCGTCTCCTCTCTGCCCAGGCTAACCCGGCCGGAGGAGAGGCGCTTGAGCGCTCACCCCAGGAGATTCGAGGCCCCGGCTGACGCCAACAGCCGCCGCCACTGCCGCCGCCGAGAACCCCGAGCATGACGCTCAGGCCGCCGCGGCCGCCGCCGGCGCCATCTTGGCTGCAGCATCACCTAAGAGACCGGGGGAGGGTGGGGGTGGTGCGGCAGGCGCGGGCTAGGCGGGCGCGGGGCGGGGCCAATGCGACGTATGGTGGGAGGGGAAAGCCTCAGGCCACGCCCCACCGCCTGGACCTGCCTGCGGACTCTGGGCTGCCCTTATCTTACAGGGTCTTCAGACTCCAACCCCATAACCTACTTAGACTTTACTCCTTCCTCTGCTCTCTCTGATCTCTGTTCCCTCTGCTCTCTCTGGTCTCTGTTCCTGCCTCCATCAATGAGTTGCCCTTCCACATACTACTTCTGTTTTCATTTCCTCAGAAATTGACCCACGAATTGCTCTACTTGCTTTTTTCTTTTGAGCTACTCGGCTTTGTTCAGATGTCTCCTGTGGTTTTTGTTTTATTTTGTTTTGTTTTGTTTTGTTTTCTTCTCTTTTGCTAAGATCTTTCCTTAGCTAAATACTGCAATTTATTATTTGCCCTGGATATGCCAGTCCTAAGAGAAGTAAAAGTTTTCAATGTAGACTCAGAGGTGAGAAACCCCAAATTCAAGTCCCGACTTTGGAATTTTCTAGTAGTGTTAACCTGGAGAAAATTAGTTTTGTCCTCACTTTAATCATGTCAGAGATATGATAAATTGTGGTATAAAGATGCATTAAGAATTGTAATGCAGTAATAATAATAATAATAATAGAGCTCAAAAAATAAATAAAGAGATTAAAAAAAATAGGTTAGTGTCTTCACTGAAAGATGGCGGAGCTGGGGGGATTGTGTTGTTCATGCATCTAGGTAACTTTTGCTGGTCACCTATTGTGCAGGCAGTTTTCAGAAAATTTGCAACCTAGCAAAACAGTTACAATGTAGCCTCTTACATGTATGATGGGGAACCCCCCTTCCCCACTAATGAGAACAGAGTTGCATGAAGTATACAACCTTCCCATAAATCTTACCAGTGGTTTACCAAAGAGTTTCCCACTTTCAATTATATACTGTTTTTGAATGAAAGCGATCCCAGAGATTTGGGTTTTGAAAAAAAAAAGTAATCTTTAAAAACTGCAAAAATAAAATTGAACTACTTGGAAGCTCTGATCCACAAAAACAACTCATTGCTGAAAATCCCTATTATGGGGAACAACTCCTTTGAGCTTGTATAGCGGCCATGTCACAGGTGTTGGAGTCTTCCTAGAGAAGACTCATTAAAGCTGGCCATGCCCTGGGGAATATCAGGCCAGGCCACATGGAACTCAGTTCCTATGCTCAAGTTCGATGCTGTTTTTTAGCCCCAGACCTCACCTGTTGCTTCAGTCAACTTCCTGTTTCCTACCTTGAAAATAATTTTAATGGAGATCACTTGTATCTGTGGAGGAATAAACAAAATATCTTTGAGTTTATGGGGTACAGTAAGCATTTTCAGACTAGCTGAACCTTTCACTTTGTCCTACAAAATGGTGAAACAAAATAGAACACAATAAAGTAAAAATGACCTGAGGGTCCAGGTGATAACTGGATAGATTGGTCTACTTACAGTTTTATGAACAATCAACACAGGACAGGAGCTTTCTGCTTGCCTGTAAACCACTCTCTGCCCCCAGGCTCTTAGTTGTCACAATAACCTGGTCCATAGCAGCTCTCTGTATACATTAGTGTTTTAGTTTACACACACACAGTGAACACTTGTATATTTTAAAAGATAAAGAAGAGAGATTGGTGGAACTAATCTTCTCTTTTTAAAATTTATTTATTTATTTTAAAAGTTATTTATTTATCTTTTAGTAGATGTAGATGGACAGTATGCCTTTATATCATTTGTTTATTTTTATGTGGTGCTAAGGATCAAACTCAGTGCCTCACATGTGCCAGAAAAGTGCTTTACTCTTTGTCTACATCAGTTATTTCATCTAGTGGAGATAATATTAATAGTATCCAATCATTTAACAAAGTGCCTCATATATAGTAAACTTATTAAATGCTAGATTATTATTCATTATCATTACTAAAATCAGAAGCAAGGGCATGACCATTTAGAGACAGATGTACAATGGAGGTAGTATTTCAAAGATAAAAATGAGTCACTTTAATTTGTTAAAAAATAATTTACCCTGAAATCAAAGAGCTGAATTTTTAAAAATATTTTTAAATTTATTTTTTAGTTTTAGGTGGACACCATGTCTATTTTATTTTTATTTGGTGCTGAGGATAGAACCCAGTGCCCCATGTGTGCTAGACAAGCACACTACCACTGAGTCACAACTCCAGCCCCCAAAAGATCTGAATTTGAAACTCCATCTGCCTATTTTTTTTAGTTATGTGATTACAGGAAGTGTGTGGAACCTCTTTGAGCCCTGTAATGTAATATGCTTCCATGAGATTGTGAGGATTAGCCAAGATAATAAAGCAAAACTACTTAGAAGAGTGCATAACACAATAGAATGATAGCTATTGTTATCCATTCACTAGGAAGAAGAGAGTATTTTGGCAAATGGAATACAATTATGAAAAAGGATAACAGTGTGAAAGTTCAAGGCTATACATGGTAGGTCATTAGAACAACATACAGATTCCTTTTCAAAATAATTTCAAAGAATCTCACAAGTTAATAATCATAATACCTTTTCATTGTGAAAAATAGTAATAATTTCACTTTTATTCTCTCTGGATTGATAGAATAAACAATACCACAAAACCAGCATGAAATCAGCAATGTTTCTAAATTAATTTACACATTTATTAATTGCTACTCAATTATCAAAGTATAATTTTGAAAAAATAAAAGAATAACTATCATACAAATATGCCGTGATTATACATTAATATTTATTAACCAGGCTGGGTACAGTGGTGCATGCCCGTAATCCCAGCAGCTAGGGAGGCTGAGGCAGGAGGATCACAAGTTCAGAGCCAGCCTCAGTAATTTAGCTAGGCCCTAAGCAATTCAGTGAGACCCTGTCTCTAAATAAAATATAAAAAGGGGCTGAGGATATGGCTCAGTGTATAAGCGCCACTGGGTTCAATCCCTGGTACAAAAAAAAAAAAAATACACATACACACACACACACACACACACACACACATATATATATAATAATCCATTAATGCAGGAGCCAACAAGATAAGGTATAAGTCTGATCCAAGCATTAAGATGACTTAATGCATATAAATCAGTTTACACATATTCATTATTATGTATATGAAATTACATTTTTAATGCTCTTAAAATTACACACTGTCAAAATATACATATATTTGAAGAGTGGAATCTACATGCTTGAGATTCTTTGTGCCAAAATCTGCAAGGGGAGAGTGCATGGTGTGAAGGTGAAGAGAGTTAGAACTTTTACTGAATGGTTTGTGCCAGAGCTAGTTCAACTGGCTCATAAAAACCAATCATGTGCATCACTTATGTACTCTGAGTTCAGTGTTTGGTGACTTCTCAGTAGTTTGAAATCAAACATGATGATAGTATTCATGGCATAGAAACAAATGAACACTATAATCCAGGGCTTATTTTCTCCTAGAGATCTAGTTGTTAAACTTTACTAGTACGCTGATATAATATGGGTTGGAGGGAGATGAAATTTCATAAATGTGATAGCTGAACATTATTTCATAGGCAGTAGCAAGCCATGAAGACTTCTGAGAGGGTGAGTTGGGGAAAACAATTGTATTTCTTATTTAGCAAAATATTTACTGATAATTATTCTTTCAGTACAGAGGATTAAGTAAAGATTGGAAACAGAAAGTTCATTGAGTAGGTGGTGGCATTATTTCATGTGAGAGATAAGACAGTATAAGTAGAGATGGAGGAAGGTCAATGACAGATTCCAGAGATCCAGTTAAGGATAAGCAATCAAGGCAATTGAGGTTTCTAGATTGGAGCAATGGGTGGATCTTGGGGAACACCAATAATTGAGATAAGTGGTATATGTGGAACAAGCAGTTTTGGAGAAAACGTGGTGCAAATTTGTTGTCTCTAAGGATTCCTCAGGATTTGTGGGTGGAAACTTTATAAGGTTATATTTAAGAGTAGAAATTCTGTTTAAGTTTCATATAGTATTTGATAATAGCTAAACCCAAAAACAGGAATAATCTTGATTAAAAAGCAGGTAAGTGGTGAGAAAAACCAAAAAAAAAAAAAAGTGCTGATGAAAAGGAGACAGAATTGAGAGAGTATATTTTAAGAGATGAAAAAAAAAAACAAATGAAATGACTGCTCTATAAGATTTATAAAGTACATTTGTTTGAAGAGATCTTATTACATTAATATTTAGTTGGAGAAAACAGAATAACTAAATTTGAATGTAATTGAGCATTCAATGAACTCTTTTTTAACAAAATGTTTTTATTTTATTTGTTTATTTTATTTTATGTGGTGCTAAAGATCGAACCCAGTGTCTCACACGTGCTAGGCAAGGACTCTGCAACTGAGTTACAGCCCCAGCCTTCAATGAACTTTTTTATATAAAGCGATATAGATACCAATAGAATAGAGTGCCCAACTTCACGGAATTTACCACTTGGGCAAGTTAATAGAGGATGATCAATGGTCAAAGGCAGTGATAGTAATAACTGTTTCTAGGTACTTGACTTTTATAATGTTCTCTTCCTAAAACAATTCTTCAAGGGAATGTTAATATTATTTCATTTTATATGAGGTAACTGAGACATAGTGCGGTTAGTAACTTGTCTAGGTCATCTAGTGGCAGATCCAGGATTTGATTCAGCAGCTTAAATTTAGAGGCTGTGTTCTCAACCACTTCTGCTCTTTTGTTTCAATATAGTAATAATAATAATAATACCTAAACATAAAATTGTAAAGATTACTTAACATATGTAAAGATTTGGGAAAAACTGCCCAGTGGGACAGGTCTGTAATCCCAGCAGTTCAGGAGGCTGAGGCAGGAGGATTGAAAGTTCAAAGCCAGCCTCATCAATTTATTCAGGCCCTAAGCAACTTTAAAGTAAAAAATAAAAGGGCTGGGGTAAAAGATGTTGAAACAGCATACACTCGGTAAGTGTTGTGTAAGTTTTAATCTTTATTATCTTCATCACCCAAGGCTACAGAGTCAGTTTGTGGCAGAATCTGGATTCTAATCCAAAATAAATTCTCTTAACGATTATGAAATATAGGCCTGGGGTATTACAGGAACATATAGGAGGGAAACCTAATTCCAGGAATGAGAACTGAGTGTGACAGGAATACTTTTTGTTTGTTTGGTACCGCGGATTGAACCCAGAGGCGCTTAACCAGTGAGCCACATCCCCAGCCCATTTTTGTATTTTATTTAGAGACAGGGTTTCACTGAGTATCTTAGGGCCTCGGTAAATTGCTAAGGCTGGCTTTGAACTCGGTATCCTGCCTCAGCCTCTGGAGTCGCTGGAATTAGCGGGGTGCGCCACCGCACCCCGCAGGAAGCGTTTTTTAGACAAGACACAATAAGCTAAGTCCTAGGGAACAAGTAGGCAGAAGAAAGGGCTGTGTATGTGAGTTAAAAGAAAGACGGTTGACAGGCGCCATCGTGCCTCTCCCTACGACTCAGGAGATTTAGGCAGGAGGATCGCAAATTCGAGGTCAATATCAGCAATTTAGCGAGGTCTTCAGCAAATGAGTGAGACCCTGTCTCATAATAAAAACTTTAAAAAAGGGCTGGGGATGTAGTTCAGTGATGGAGCGCCCTGGATTCAATCCCCGGTACAAAAAAAAAAAAATGTAGATTGACTGAACAAAGCATATGTAATTCGTGGTTGGATCCTACAATCGGGTGGGAATGAGGCTGAAGAGACCTCGTATCCAATTCTATGCTACATATGATTTTGCACTTTGTTCTCCAAGAAATATCATTGTTTGAACAATTCTGTTCAAAGACGGGCCACTAAAAAAATCCCGGTTCGCTACAGGGGTTAGAAGACACTTGCAGGCGCAACTCAATGGACTTTGCATTTTTCTACTCTTGTAGAATCTAGCCACCACCTAAACAGGTTAGGCTTGGAAACGATGGATGCCTGCTAACAAGCGGTCTCACTCACTTCCGGCATCCTCCGTTGCTAAGGTAGCCGGAAGTGAGGTATATCGCTCCGCCCACCAAACCATAGAGAGCCGGAAAAAGCCTGAGCAGAAGGGTCAGAAAGGAAAGAAGAGGGTTGCGTAGGTGTGGTTAGTGCTAAAATGACGACTTTAGTGTTGGATAATGGAGCCTACAATGCCAAAATCGGTTACAGCCATGAAAATGTCTCGTAAGTATTGGCTTTCTCCGGGGGACAAGACTATGCTCAGTAGTTTCGCATGCTAAGCTTCAATGCCTAACGTCAGTGAAACGCCCTCGCGCGGCTCTAACCTGAGACTGGGGATGCGCAGGTTGGAGCTGGGTTGGAGGTTGTCATGCTTTGAACTGGAATTGATTTTGGTTTTAGTTTTGGGATGCGCAGCTCCGGAAGTGGGATGTATGTTTCGTTTCCTAACAGGCTTCAAGACATGAGTTACTGACTGAGGGGTAGGTCTACAAAATTCAGGAACCTTCAAAAATTGTGGGCAACATTTTTGGTATAGCTGCATTTTCTGAAAACGTGATTATAGGTTTCATCAGATCCCCAAAGGGTTCTATGACCCCCCAAAAGTTAAAAAATCACCGTCTAGGATCTAGAGACATTGAAGACTTTGAAGTCCACTGGCTAACCTGGTCGGTCACTTATACGGTAATACTACAATGACATTCAGAAGATGTGTATTCATAAAATGTGTTTGTGTTGAAGCCGACATGTAAAGACCTGATCAAATTCACGAAGGATTCTTTTTCTTATCATTTTTCCCTCTCTTTTTGTACTGGTGCTGGGGATTGAATCTATTGAATCTGCTGATTTGCTGTTCTTGATTTTTTTTTTTTTTTTTTGGTACCAGGGATGGAACCCAGGGGTGCTTAACCGCTGAGCCATATTTTTATTTTTTTCTTTTGAGACAGGGTCATACTAAGTCCCTTAGGGCCTTGCTAAGTTGTAGTGGCACCCCCTCCTCCACAAAAAAAAATCTTAACTAGGCTTCTCCAGAAATCCAGAAATCAGCAAATGCACCTTTGAGGCAAGCGCTCTACCACTGAATTCTATCCCCAGTGTTGTACTTAACTTTTATGTGTGTGTGGCGGGAGAGAAAGAAGGTACTGGGGATTGAACTTAGGGGTACTCAACCACTGAGCCACGTCCTCAGTCCTATTTTGTATTTTATTTAGAGACAAGGTCTGAGTTGCTTAGCACCTTGCTTTTGCTGAGGCTGGGTTTGAAATCATGATCCTCCTGCCTCAGCCTCCAGAGCCGCTAGGATTGCAGGTGTGCCCTGTGCCTGGCACTTTAACTTCTTTTAATTGTCTTTTTTCCCCTGCCTTTTTGTTATGTTTTTGTTTTTGTAGAGAGAATTGAACCCAGGGGCACTTTGTTACCGAGCTGCCTTTTTATTTTTAAAAAGTTTTTCCCCAGCCCCTTTTATTTATTTTTTATTTTGAGGCAGGCCTTGCTAATTTGCTGAGGCTGTCCTCAAACTTGCAATCCTCCTTTCTCAGCCTCCTAGTTTGCTGAGATCACAGGTGTGCACAGCCATGTCTGGCTTGTTTTTCTTTTGAGACAGGTTCTCACTTTGTTCCTCAGCCTGGCCTGAAGCTCTTGTACTTGAGTGATCCTCCTGCATTAGCCTCTCAAGTAGCTGGGACTACAGATGCCTGCCACCATGCCTGACTTATTTCTTTATGAAGAGGGAAATCAGACTGAGTAGAAATGTACATTACATTCTTTCTGGAAAATATTTTGGCAGTGTGCTTACTGTTCATATCCTTGATCTCAATTATGTTATCACTTAGAGAATTAACTAGAGGTTCTCCATAATTACAGAAAAATTTTAAAGTTATTTATAGACACTATGCACAGTTAGAAAACTAAAGAAAAAAGCAAAGCATGCTAAATAATCAAGAACAGTCCTTGCACAGTGGTGCATGCCTGTAATCCTGAAAGGCTGAGGCAGCAGGATCCTAAAGTTCAAAGTCAGCCTCAGTGACTTAGTGACTTTGTTGTAGGGACAGACGGGACAAGGCACCGAAGATAGAGGGAAACAGTTTTATTTGGTTGCAGCCAGGTTCAGAGGGCACAGCTTTTGCTGTAAACAATTAATCCCCTGAACCCCGAGTTCAGGTAGTTTCAGAATTTTATACCCAGCGTGTAAGGGGAGGGGCTCAGAAGTTCAGTCTGCAGGAGTTTACAGAAAAGCAGCTTTTTCTTTCGCTGTTGTGGACAAGTTAACCCTTCAAGGACAACACCTGAAAAGGGGAGAGCTGCTTCTCCCCTTTCTTCCTCCCCCTGCCAGCTGTTACCATGGAGCCGAATTAGTAACTTATCTTAAAAATGTAGACATCTCTGTGAAGCCCAGCTCAAGGCCAGTGGCCTTGTTTACATGTCTACAAACTACTATACTGGATAAGTGTGTGTGAAAAACTAGTAAGGGGGTGTCCAGCAGCTGGAATTCCGATTTCTTCCAGGCTAGTGGCCAAGAAAATAAGGAAGCATGAAAATAGGTAGTTTATCTACATTGAACTCTTTTGCAGAGACTCTTTTGCTGATATTCCTAAAATCAGCCATGGTGAAGATTTCTGGAGAAGCCCAGTTAAGACTTTTTTGTGGAGGAGGGGGTGCCACTACAACTTAGCAAGGCCCTAAGGGACTTAATATCTTAATATGACCCTGTCTCAAAAGAAAAAAAATTAAAATGTGGCTCAGTGGTTAAGCACCCTGGGTTCCATCCCTGGTACAAAAAAAAAAAAAAAATCAAGAACAGCAAATCTGCTAAAATTATGTCCTCCAAGCATATTTAAACATGTAGAGAAAGTGCTGACAGTACAGAAATTGAAATAAGCTGGTACTGCAGCATTATCCTAACATCATTGTGCCTGTGGTGTATGCATACAAATGTGTTTGACAATGGCTCTTGTTTGCTTTCCTACCCACATTGTAAACTTATGGTGAGCAGCAACCAATTTAAATGTAGTTCCTACTTATACCCTATAGCATCTTATTGATTAAAATTAGGATCTTTGGTTTCGTTGACTGCACTTACAGTGTGATGCTACATCCTGTACAACCAGAGAAACGAAAAGTTGTGCTGCAGTTGGGTACAATGAATCAAATTGTTGTCATATATACCTAATTAAAATAAATAAATAAATTTTAAAAAATCTTTGGTTTCAGGAAAACACAATTTTATGGCCAGAATTTTGAACTTCTGTATCTTTTACCAGAATTGTATTAAAGAGTTTCCACATTAAAGACAGAAAGACTAGGACCTTTACTAAAGCCCTGATTGTTATCGTGCAGTGGCAGAACTAATATCCACCCATAATGGTTTCTAGAAGATAATTTGAGAAAGATAAAGGGTCCAGTATAGAATGTGGTACATACTACAATCATTTTTTAAAAAGCATTTTCAAATTATTTAAAGACAGAATGAATAATACTTGCTTTGGGTATTTTGACCTTCAGGATGATGGTTAAATAAAGGCATTTTAAAAATTACATATGTAGGAATAAGAACTAAATATTTAGGGGATAATTATATCATTTGTTTCTTTGTTTCTAGGGTTATTCCTAATTGTCAATTCAGGTCAAAAACAGCACGCCTTAAAACTTTTACTGCTAACCAGATAGATGAAATAAAAGACCCTTCTGGACTCTTCTATATCCTTCCTTTTCAAAAGGTAATCCAGGGCTGGGGTTGTGGCTTATTGGTAGAGCACTCACCTAGCTTGTGCCAGGCCCTGGGTTCAATCCTCAGCACACATAAAAATAAATAAATAAAATAAAGGTATTGTGTTCAACTACTACTAAAAAATAAATATTAAAAAAAAAGTAATCTAGGGGCTGGGGTTGTGGCTCAGAGGTAGAGCGCTACCATGTGTGAGGTACCAGGTTCGATCCTCAGCACCACATAAAAATAAAATGAAAAGTATTATGTCCACCTATAACTAGAAAATAAAATATTTTTTAAAAGTAGTCTAATTATTGTTTCTAGTGTTATTGACACAAGGTGTATATATTATGTTGTGCATATGTATAAAAAATTTTGTTGTTTTACTTTATTTTTTGTGGTGCTATGCTAGGGACAAAATTAAAAATATTTTTACATCTCTGAGAAAAGTTAACCTAAATTTTAACTGATATTTAATTAAAACCCAAAATTGAAATTGTCTTAGTTAAAATAAGTGACCATGATTTAGTTATTGGTTGTGAATACTGAATTTTACTTAAATCTCAATTCATGTGCACACATGAATTTAAGAAAAAAGTATAGAAAAGCATCCTATATATTGGTGTGTCCTCTGAACCCTTGACATTATGGTTTCATTAATTTACAAATTTTTAAACTTTGCGTGTGTGTACGTGGTACTGGGGATTGAACCTAAGACCAATCTACCACTGAGTGACATCCCCAACCCTTTGTTTTAATATTTTATTTCAAGTTGGAGTCTCATTAAATTTCCAAGGCTGGCCTCAAACTGGCAATCCTTCTGCCTCAGCTTTTTAAGTTGGTGAGATTACAAGCATGTGCCACCATGCCTGCAGTTGTTTTGTTTTGTTTTAAAAAAAGAGAAAAACGGGCTGGGATAATTGTGGCTCAGTGGCAGAGCACTTGCCTCGCACATGTAAGGCACTGGGTTTGATCCTCAGCACCACATAAAAATAAATAAAGATATTTTTAAAAAATTAAAAAAAACACAACATATCAATATAATTGGTTTGATACTCATACAGCATTAGACTGAAAAGGTAACCATAAAGAGATAGAACTCAATGATTTAGAATATATTAATCTGATTTTTAAAAATTGCTCAAATATTTTTGCTAATTAAATTTATTAAAAATTTTTTAGGGCTACTTGGTGAATTGGGATGTTCAAAGACAAGTTTGGGATTACCTTTTTGGAAAAGAAATGTATCAGGTAACAAATTAAGAGTATGTATTCAAATTCTATTTCCATGTCTTATTCTAATGAAAAATTCAATCTTACACTTTAAGATTTACAGATTTATGAATGTTTCGGTTACATATTTCAATCTTTTAAAGATAGCTTTGTCTAGCTTTGATTTTCTAAGTATTTAATAAATGCAAATAAGTAGAATGTAGTCTGAGTAGAGATATATTGAAACAATGTATAAAATGTTATTACTTCTGAAGAATGGGTGGGAGAGCACTTTCCTTCAGCCACCCAAGATGCCAAAGGAAAGAAGACCAAGGGGAAAGCAAGTGGCCCTGGCCCTGCTGTCAAGAAGAAGCAAGAGATCAAGATGGTAGATCCCCTGTATGAGAAAGGGCCTAATAATTTTGGTATTGGATAAAACATACTGCCTTTCTTCCACTTGTTAAATGGCCCCACTATATCTGTCTACAGCTGCAAAGGGCCTTCCAGCTATAGATGGCTGAAAGTGCATCCTGTGATTGACCAATTTATACAGGCTGTGGACTGCCACACACATATTAGACTGTTTAAGCTGATGCACAAATGCACACGAGAAGCAAAGCAAGAGACAAAAGGACTACTGGCCTGAGCTGAGAAGAAAGCTGTCAGCATAGGGGATGTTCCCACTAAGAGAATACCTATCTTTTGAGCAGAGGTTAATATTGTTACCACCTTGGTAGAAAACAAGAATGCTCAGCTGGTGGTGATTGCACAAGATATGATCAAGCTGAATGTCTTCCTGCCCATCTGTGTCTTTAGATGGGGATTCCCTGTTGCATTACATTAGAAAGGGGAAGGGAGATCAGACTAGGACATCTTGCTCACAGGAAGACCTGCACCATCCTCACCTTCACACAGGTTAACTCAGAAGACAAAGGGGGTCTAGATAAGCTAGTTGAAGCTGTCAAGACCAGTCAAAGACAGATATAATGAGATCCACCATCACTGGAGAGGCAGTGTTCTGGGTCCAAAATCTGTGGCTTGAATTGTCCAGTTGGAAAAGAAAAAAGTTAAAGAAATGGCCACTATAAATTGGGTTAAACATACACTGCGTTTTTAGATGGGGATTCCCTGATTTTTCTGTACATAAAAATTCTGCAAAAAACAACAACAACAAACTTGTAGGGAGATTTATGTAATCTTTAAATTCATACCTTGAAACTTCTAATTTTTTTTAGTTGTAGGTCAACACAGTACCTTTATTTTTATGTAGTACTGAGGATGGAACTCAGTGCCTCACACATCCTAGGCAAGCATCCTACCACCAAGCCACAACCCCTGCCCCATCTTGAAGCTTCTTGCTTTTTTCCTTTTAAAAACAACATAGCAGTGGCCCTGCTACTTGTAGTTTTATCATTCATTGTTATTTCATAATTATTTTTAACAGTTTGATAACATTTTATTAATGCTACCATTAAGAAAAGTAGGATTGTACAATAGTTAAGTGCATAGATTCTCTAATCAGACTCCCTGAGGTTAAATCCTAGCTTTGTCTCTAAGTAGCTATATGAAGCTTGGTAACTTATTCAACTTTACTGTTTCAATTTTCTCATCTATTAAGTGGGAAAAATAATGAGTTGGGTTTATTGTGGTGATTAAATCATTTTGTTTTCATATTTAAAACAAATGTTGATGATAGTCACTACAAATTATAAAACTTTTGGGGATTTTTTTTTCCTCCCATAGGTTGATTTTTTAGATACTAATATTATTATCACAGAACCATATTTTAACTTCACTTCAATTCAAGAATCAATGAATGAAATTCTATTTGAAGAATATCAGTTCCAAGCAGTATTAAGAGTAAATGGTAAGTTAAAAAGAGTTTTCATTAAAATTGAACTACGTGAGTCTGGTGCAATAGTGCACACCTGTAACCCTACTTACTCTGGAGGGTGAGGCAGGAGGATCACAAGTTTGAAGCTAGCCTTGGCAATTTAGCAAGACCCTGTCTCAAAACAAAAATTAAAAAAGGGACTGTACATGTGGCTCCATGGGAGAGCTCCTCTGAGTTCAATCCCCTATGCCACCAAAAAAAAAAAAAAAATAGAAATAGGGTAAAGAAACTCTAAAAATACTGGGTGGCATTCTTTAGGACCTTTAGTTTATATAATTGCACCTCTCAGTACATTTGTGCTAATATGATATTTCTCCAATGAAATTATTAGTCACATAGTCTAGTCTCCAAAAGATTATTGGGTTCATTTTCTGTCATTGCTATTTGCTATTTATATTATTGAAATTATATAGCTTACACTGTTACTTAATATGAAGAAAAATGACCTAAAAGCAAGTTTATTAAAGGATATGGTAATATCATCTAATTGTATACATGAAAGCATTTAAACTTTTAAGTCTGTGTAAGCAACAGTATGCTCTAATGGTTAAGAGCATAATCTCTAGAAATAGTCTCAACTAATGGGTTTTTTGTCTCCCAGGGAATATTTGGCAGTATTCAGAGACACTTTTAGTTGTTGCAACTAGGAGGATGCTCATGGCATCTAGTGGGTATATGTCACAAATGCTGCTGTGCATCCTGTGATGCACAAGAAAGTCCCCAATGAAGGACTTATCTGACTCAGAATGTCAGTGGTTCTGAGGTTGAGAGATCCTGCTCTAAAGCACATTACCTAGGTTTGAGTGCTGGTTCTGCTACTTTCTAATTGTATACCCTAGGAAAAATTATTTAAATCCCTGTATTTCAGGTTCCTCATCTGTAAGTTGGGATTCTTCTGTATATTAAAACCCACACTCATTATATAGAGTTTAGAATAAAGTCTGGCATATAAATCCTCAGTAAAAATTAGCTGCTGCACTAATTTTTATAAACTGTGAACTTTACTTTTGAAAACTGATCACAAATTTCTTTTTATATTTACCTTGTATGATTTTTTAAAAAATTAAACATTACAAACGTCTTGTGAAAGTTTTGAATATTATTATAAATTAACATTTTTCTTATAGTTAAAGGGAAATTTTCATCTTTGTGCTTGCTTTAGTCTGCTATCTTTCTTTATTGCTTTAAACTAATGGTATACTTTTATTTAACACATTCATTTTTTCTTATAGCTGGGGCTCTCAGTGCACATAGGTATTTCCGAGATAATCCTTCTGAATTATGCTGTATCATTGTTGATAGTGGATATTCCTTTACACATATAGTTCCTTATTGTAGAAGTAAAAAGAAAAAAGAAGCAATTATTCGGTGAGTTGCATTTAGTTTTCATGTTATTTCATCTTATTTGCATATTATTTCTTAGGATGGAATATGTGATAACTGAACCAAAGTTGAATTCTTCTCTTTTAGGATAAATGTGGGAGGAAAACTTTTAACCAACCATCTAAAGGAAATCATATCTTACAGGTAATACTTAGATTTGATTCTTTCAGAGGATATGAGGTACTGGGAATGAACTTTCTAGAATAATTTAAAATTATTTCTTTCTTTTAGTTGTAGTTTCAGGCAGCAATTCAAATCATGCTTAAAAATATATACTAATGATGTTTGAATTGGAAAGCTTTTGAGAATATATAATGATAGTGCCTACCAAAAATACATTTCTGAATTCTAGGGAATTTAACATATTGATTATGTATTAAAAATTATAATGTATTTGAACATGGTAAAACAAATTTCAAATGCATACAAAGGAAAGGGAACTAAAAAGGAAACCAGATCTCCCCTCTTTGCCTCTCAGGTCAGACCCACTTTCACACAAAAGTATAACATTTGAATTGTGTCTTTATGTTTTTAATCTCTGTAGGCATTACTATTGATATTTCTGTTTCTTTCTTTCTTTCTTTTTTTTAACTTTTAATTTTGAGACAGAGTCTCGCTAAATTGCTGAGGCTGGCCTTGAACTAGTGACCCTCCTGCCTTATGCCTCCTGAGTCAGTAGAATTATAGGAATGTATCACTGCACCCACCTAACCTTAGTCCATTAAAACTTTTTCCTTTTTATTTTGAAATAATCACAGACTAGGAAAGTTGTAAAAATGATAGACTGGTGTTACTTTAATAAACTATAATACAGTATCAACCCAATGAAATCGACATTGATACAATGTTATTAACTAGACCACAGACCATATTCAGGTTTTACCAGTTTTTACATGCATTAATTTGTATAAATGCATGCACAGTTATTCCATGTGTAAAGCTATATAATCACCACAAAGGAACTTTTTGTATTGCCTCCTTTTTTAAAAAAATATTTGTTTGGTTGCAGTCAAACACAATACCTTTATTTTATTTATTTATTTTCATGCGATGCTGAGCATCAAACCTGGTGCCTCACACATGCTAGGCCAGCAGTCTGTCATTGAGCCACAACCCCAGCCCCTGTATTACCGCTTTATATTTTTTCCACTAGTGTTTTAGTTAACTTTTGCATTGCTGGGACCAAAAGATCTAACAAGAACAACATAGAGCAGGGAAAGTTTAGTTGGGGCTTATAGTTTCCATGATCTCATTCCATAGACACCAACTCCATATCTCTGGGCCTAAGGTGAGGCAGAACATCATGGTAGAAAGATATGGAAAAGGAAAACAGCTCCACTCGCCAGGGACAAAATATAAACCCCAAAGACATGCCCTCAGTGACCTACCTCCTCTAGCCATACCCTACCTATTAGCAGTCACTACTCAGTTTCCATTCAAGTGGATCAATGTACTGATTAGGTTAAGCCCCTCAAACCAGTTATTTCACCTTGAAACTTTACTGTATTGTCTCACACATGAGCTTTGGCGGGAGAGGGGCGTGTCACCTCATATAAAAACCATAACACTCATTCTATTCCTATCTCTTTTCCATCTCTATGTTTTTATTTTTTTAAGAATGTTACAGAATCATATAATAACCTTTAGAGATTGATTCTTTTCATTAAGCATAATGCTATACCATTTCCTGTTCTCCCCACCTCCATACTGGGGATAGAACTCAGTGCCTCACATGCTCTAACACTGAGCTATATTCCCAGCCCTTTATATTTTATTTTGAAATGGAGTCTCACAAAGTTGCCCAGGCTGGCCTCAAAGTTCTTATTCTGCCTCAGTCTACTGAGTTCTGGGCCTTCTTAATTATTGAGTTTATAACAGTTATATGCTACTTTAAAAAAAATATTTGTTTATTTTAGTTGGACACAATATCTTTATTTTATTTATTTATTTTTATGTGGTGCTGAGGATCCAACCCAGGGCCTCACACATGCTAGATGAGCACTCTGCCTCTGAGCCACAACGCCAGCCCTTATATGCTACTTTTTATAGTTCATTCTGTCTTGCCTTATTTAAATATTCTAAAAAATAGAAAACTCATGAATAACATTTACATTTTGTTTATGTCAGTGTTATTCAGTATAAAACCAAAAAATAATTGGGCTCAGTTTCAGTAAGTTTGGATATTTAATTCCCCACCCCAGTCACATTAGAGGCAACAAGCTGGAAAGGGAGACAATGTTGAGGCAGATCAGGATTTTTAGACATATACAAACACACACACACACAAAGAGGGCAGGAGAAGTAGCTCAGTGGTGGAGTTCTTGCCTAATATGTGCAAAGTTCTGAGTTCAATCCCTAGCACTGCAAAGATAAACAAAAAGCACAGCAAGAAAATGTTAACTGAGTGGTAAGCATAAAAACAGTGGAAGAAATAGTACCTGATATATTTTCTTCCATGCAACTTTATTGAAAATTTATTGAAATAAGTCATGTGTACAGAAGAGGATGCACACCATGAGTCTACAACTGAATTTTCAAAAAGTGAACATACTGGAGCTGGGGATGTGGCTCAAGCGGTAGCGCGCTCGCTTGGCATGCCTGCGGCCCGGGTTCGACCCTCAGCACCAAGTACAAACAAAGATGTTGTGTCCGCCGAGAACTAAGAAAAAATAAAAATAAATAAGTATTAAAAAAAAAAAAAAAAAGTGAACATACCCATAAAACCACAGCACAATTCAAGCAGAAGATGACTGCATCCAAACTCCCCTGTGTCCTCCTCAGGTCTGGAAAACCACCAGCTCCTAACAGGATAAGATTTATGTGTGTACAAATGTACATACATACTCACACACAAACACACACATATTTATATTAGTTTTAATTCACACATAGTACTTGTACATACTTATAGTTTATATGGTGTGATTTCAGTACTCATATATACCAGTGTGTAATATCAGATCAGTATAGTAGGCATACGTATCACTTCAGACATTTATTATTTGTTTATATTGGGAATGTTCAAAATCCCCTCTGCTAGCTATTTTGAAATATTTAAATAGCTGTTGTCAACCATCACTGTCTTACTTTACTATAGAACATAGAAATTTTCCTCCTTTTCAGCTGTACCCCTGTACCTGTGAACCATTCTATCTTCTCCTCTACCTCTCACTTATCCTTCCCAGGCTCTGGGAACCATACTATCAGGATAGGTTTTGACAGCTTTTGTGTTTTAACTTATATCACAATTTTAAACCTTATAAATGGTCAAAAAGCCTTTGTAATCAAAACTAAGGTAAACATAAGTCTAAGAAGTAAATTGACATGAATCAATCTCCAGTACCATTTTAAAAAAAAAAAGTTACATTTCCTATAATAATATCACAGATGCAATTCAGCAAATATTATTACTTAGGATCTTGGGATACTTAGATAAAACAAATAATAGAATTCCTCTTCTCTTGGTATTTACTTCTCAGTAGAGAAAAATAACAAAATGCTGTTTTTACAACATAATTTTTTTTCAAATGATGTTGCAGACTTTTTATATGGACATTTATTGATTACTGATAAGAATACAACTTGAAATAACCTTTCTGGTAAACAATTTTGAAATATGCTAAGAGACTAAAATTATTTGATATTCTGTGTCCTAGTATATGACTAAGTAATGAGGTAATTAGATATATAGATAAAAATGCCTATATTTCATGGATTCTGAGTTGTGTTTTCCCCCCACATTTTAATCTTCAAAATGTTGAATTTTCCAATAGTCGATACCTCAGAATTGACACAGTTCAATTGGCAGTTTTTCTTCTCATTGGTACATGAGAGAAGGTGAAATGTGGAATAGAAAGATGTTTAATATACAAAATCAAAAAGAAAATTTTTTATTAAGTACACAGACTATGTTAAACACTTCATATGTATTATCATAATCATTTACTTCTTATAATTCTGTTTAGTAGTTGTTAGCATTTATGGGATTTAGTCCCAAAAAAGTAAAGTAACTTGGCTGCTACAGCTGTATTTCAAACCTAGGTCTCCAAAATCCATGTTAATGAACATAAATATCTTCTTCTCTGATCTAAACTTCCAACATTAGGGATAAGTACATATTACAGATTCATCTGATTTTGATAACAAAATAAACTATATAATAAAATCTGTGTGCACAGAAAAATATTCAAAGGTTATCATACCACTTTTTATTATTTTTTATTTACTACACTAAATTTATATCTCCTTAGGTTCACATATCAAATATTAAGCATCTTTTATATGCTAGATTCTGTGTGCTAGTGGGTAAAACTTCTACAATTAGAAAAAAAAGCAAAATGTTAAGGCATAATGGCAATATTGTATTCAGAATTGTTGGGAGAAAAGTTTAGTTGCTCTTTAGTTGGGAAGTCCTTAATACTAAACACCGCTGTTTGTCTACAAACTGGATTAAAACCTGTCCATAGAGGAATAATATAGAGATTAAATAGGATATGGAAATGAGAGTATTCCATAAAATTTAAAATATTTTACACATTAAAGAGTTTAATATTTTAAAAAATCGGTGATCCCAAATTTAATTTCAGGAAAAAGTTTTAAATGATAATTGTAAGTTATATTCAAATTTTCTCCATTTCAAATTTTACAATATATTTCTGTTAGGCAGCTACACGTTATGGATGAAACACACGTGATTAATCAAGTGAAAGAAGATGTATGCTATGTGTCTCAGGACTTTTACAGAGACATGGATATTGCAAAGTATGTATACATCCAAAGTATGTATACTAGTAATCTAAGAATTGAAAAATTGGTTTTTGGATGTTGTTACATATAATTAAAATATTTCACAAATTGTTTCTTTTTACAGGTTGAAAGGAGAAGAAAATACAGTAATGATAGACTATGTTTTGCCTGACTTCAGTACAATTAAGAAGGGCTTTTGTAAGGTAATTTAAAAAATTGTGCCAGGCATGTGGCACACACGTGTAAACTCAGCAACTCATGAAGCTGAGGCAGGAGGATTGCAAGTTCTAGGCTAGCCTCAGCAACTTAGCGAGGCCCTGTCTTAAAAAGGGTTGGGGATGTAGCTCAGTGGTAAAGCACCCTGAGTTCAATCCCCAGAAACTGCCCCCCACCCCCAAAAAATTATCAGTGTTGTTTCTTCAAGTGACCCACTTCAGTCAGGTTTGAAGAGCCTTTCACATCTAGCTGGAATTGACAGAGCTTAACACAGTTGTTGATGACAGCTTTTCTGGTTGCCATTTCTCCAGGCATGAGTATAAAGATTGGATTAGTAAATTTCTCACTAAATAAGAAAAAGAATTGGGGTTGGGGTTGTGGCTTAGCGGTAGCATGCTCGCCTAGCATGCGAGAGGCCCTGGGTTCAATCTTCAGCACCACATAAAAATAAATAAATAAAATAATGGTATTGTGTACAACTACAACTAAAATCTAAATATTAAAAAAAAGAAAAGAACTATCAGCCAAATGATAGCATATGGGACAAATCTGTAGATCATTATCTATATTATGGTTAATCTTTCTCTGTTTAAGAAGAGTTAATTTATGGTACATGCCTATATTCCCAGCTACTCAGGGACTGAAGAAGGATTCCAAGTTTCAGGCCAGCCTGGACAACTTAGCAAGACCCTATTTTGAAATAAAAACAATTTTTAAAAAGTGGGCTCTGGGAATATGTCTTAGTGGAGGAGTGCTTGCCTAGCATGTGTAAGGCCATAGGATTCAATCCCCAATAAAGACCAACACCCTCCAAAAATAATTAAATTACTTAGAAACTGGTAATTTTCATGTTGTGAAGTTAATTAATTAATTAATTAATTTGGTAATGCTGGGGATTGAATATTAGGCCTTGTGCATGCTAGACAAGCCCTCTACCACTGAGCCACATCTTCAACCCCATTGTAAAAATTATTGACAGTTTACCTAGTGCTGAATTTTATTAATGTTTATCCAATAGGATCAGATTGAAAAGGGCAAAATACAGTGCACTTTCAAAGTTTTGAGAAGCAGTTTGCCTTAGCTATTAAAATGAAGTAATTTTTCCTTACCTTTGATCAGCTTAGGTAATGTCAGATCTGTATTCAATTAAATGTGAAGTTTACCCTTCTAGTTGCTTGCTTGATAAGGACTGTTGGAAAGTTAAAAATCCTTAGGAAAGAAATGGGAACTGATAACAGCCAGTTATCTGAGTATTTTTTTAGCTTAGTGGTTGAGTGCTCACTTAGCATACATGAGACCCTGATTTTAATTCCCAGTACTGGGAAAAAAAAACGAAAGAAAGAAAAGGAGACATTTATAATGATATGCATGTAACATATTTTTGTGAAAAATTGGGATCAGCCTAAATATCTATTAACAGGAGAATAAATTTTTTATATATTTTATAAAATAATAAGCATTAGTGAAAATGAAGTAGAGCTACATGATCAGCATGGACAAATCTCAGAAACATGATGTTTAATAGAAAACAAGTTTTAGAAAGCAGTATGTACTTAGCCAATACAGAATAATAATTTATGTTGTTTAGGTACACATAAATAAGAAGTAAAAGATTATGTATGTGAAAGATAAAATTCAAAAAAGGAAAGTATTAACTTATTATCATTGGATTGGTTGATAGATACTTGAATTTTATGTAATTATTAGTACTTAGCATACCTGAAACTTTTGTGTATGTGTGTGTGTGTGTGTGTGTGTGTGTGTGTGTGTGTGTGTGTTTTGGCCAGCCAGATTATTGAGGTGAAACACAAGTCAAAAAAGGAAAGTATTAACTTATTATCATTGGATTGGTTGATAGATACTTGAATTTTATGTAATTATTAGTACTTAGCATACCTGAAACTTTT